TTTAATTCGCTGAATCGGAAATGAGAAAAGGACATTTTGTGTCCTTTAATCTAAAGTTCGCTTTTTCTATTTTTGTTTTCCTTTATAATTTCTTTCCAATTTATATTAGGGGTACATTAAATTATTCTAAATATTTTACGTCCTTATTGATACAAATTGGATCAGTTTTGAAGTGAAATGCTTCGATCCCTGTGTGGCCTATCTTGGACAGGGTTGAAATAGGGTTAGGAGAGAGTGGGGAGAGGTTGGGGGAGAGGGTGGGGAGAGGGTGGGGAGAGGGTAGGGAGAGGGTGGGGAGAGGGTGGGGGAGAGGTGTGAGGAGATAGTGGGGAGAGGGTAGAGGTAAGGTGGAAGGAGGGTGAGGAGGGAGTGGGGAGTGGGGAGAGTGTTGGGAGGGTGTGGGGAGGATGGGGGAGAGGTTCAGTAGTTCAGTGGTCGAGCCCAAAAGTAGAATTGTTTTAGTTCAGAATAAAATAAGAGCTTTCCGGCATTTTCAACACAAAATATGTGTCATTTAACATGCGCCTAAGATTAGAGGCGTTAATAGTAGTGATAGTCAAAGTTTAAAAAAAAAGCACAAATATGGACCATAGATGTTTGACTGGAAAGGAAAAGCAAACGACGCCAGAGCACCCACCAACTACCCATTCAACAATGTAACATTAAAAAAAAAGAAATAGGGACCCTAGACGTTTGATAGGAAAGACGGAGCAAATCACATCGGAGCATTCGCCACCCACCCCTCATCATAGACTGGTAAATTAGAGTGTGTCTATAACGTACACTGGCAATGGATAAAATAAGATTGAATGAACTAGTCAAAAGGTTTTGAAAACAATATAACATTAACCAGATCAGAGAAAGGTTTCAAATGAAATGAAAGTAACTAGAGCTTCAACATGATGTACTACCGAGTTTGGTTAATTTACAAAGGTCATCACTCTGATTTAAAGCCATTAAGACATTTCGTTCAAAGTATGTATGGCATCTCCCCAGTCTTGTTTTTACCATTTTAAGAAAGTGATATCAGACCCTATTTCTTTTTGACCCGTTTTATTGCTAATTTTAAAAAGTTATTGCTATCTTCAAGACTATAAAACAACTATGCGGGGTTAAGATGTTTTTCTCAAAAGAGGATTTTTCCTGATACCGTATCTAAATCATTTATGGAGCCTGGGAGAAATCTAGGGATGGAAATATGTTATACCGAACTGCTTGGTTTGCTACGGGATCTGAAGAATGAATAATAACACAGAGTACGTCCCCTACACAAACGCTCTCTAACTCTCTCTCCCTCTGTGTCAAACCCTCTTTCTCTTTCACCCTCAGTCTCTCTCTCTCTCTCTCTCTCTCTCTCTCTCTCTCTCTCTCTCTCTCTCCCTCTCTCTCTCTATCTACCTATCTCTTTCTCAGCCCAAGCTCCCCCTTGCTTCCTTTCTCAAAGTATATAAACATATAATACAAAATTATACCTTCCCTCTCCCTCCCCCCCCCCTCTCTCTCTCTCTCTCTCTCCATCAGATTCGTTTTCTTCACCCTATCTCCAAAACATATATACCAGACAGCTAGACAGAGAGACAGACAGACAGATAGAAAGACACACAAACACAATGTTACACTGGCAGATAGAGAGTAAATAACCGAGGGAATAAGTACGAGTATAGGCCTGGCAGGGGTACAGAGAAAAAAGCTTTGTTGAGTGTGGACAGTAAAGCGGGGCGCAAAGACAAAGCGAGATTTTTTTTCCACAGCAAGAATCCACAACGTAATTTAACCTATTTTATGATTAACTAATAAACTATCTGCAGATCAAGTAAGAGATTATAGTTTACTCCATCCCGGATGAATAGCAGTTAAATAAAAGCTGAAGCATCTCAAAGCAAATAGAATACAACAGTTCGTGTCAGACAAATTAACTGCAATATGTTATGTTATCATCATTATCATTTCTGTTATTATTATCATTATTATTATTATTATTATTATTATTATTATTATTATTATTATTATTATTATTATTATTATTATTACAATTATTATCATTATTATTATTTTTATCATTATTATCATAATCATTATTTTTTTGGGTATTATATTCTGTTTTTGGAGGGGTATTTTTAGATGAAAGGAGGATAAGCAGAGCGGACTGCCATCATGCAGCGCAACAAAAAAGTACATGGGAGCCTACCAGTCAACCTTAGGACAAACCTTGGATTATAAAATTGCACCTTGCAAAGCTGGAAAGCTCCGTAAATCATCGGGTTCAGCATGGAGTTGGACAGTCCGATGAAGCTGAAGTAGTTGAAGATGACCGGGTCAATGACCTTGTCCAGGAAGGTGATGCAGATGAAGATGATGTAGTAGGGCGTCCAACACACCATGAAGGCCAAAACGATGACGAAAGACATGATCAGCGACTTCCGCTTGGCTTTACGGAGGAGGTAACTCCGCACCGGCCCCCTGGCGGCGTGGTCCTCCGAGTAGTTGGACATGATGGAGGCTGCAGGGGGAGACAAAGTGGGAGAAAAAATATTTAGTTCTTGCTCTCTGTCTCGCTCTCTTTTCTCAATCTCTCTCTCTCTCTCTCTCTCTCTCTCTCTCTCTCTCTCTCTCTCCCTTTCTTTCTCTCTCTCTCTCTCTCTCTCGCTGTATCTATCTCTATCTCTCTCACTATCTCCCCCCCCTTCTTTCTCTCTTTCTCTCTCTCGCCGTATCTCTCTCTATTTCTCTCACCCTCTTTACCCCCCCTCTCTCTCTCCTGGTCTCTCTCTCTCTCTCTCTTTCTCTCTCTCTCTCTTTCTCTCTCTCTTTCTCTCTCTCTCGCTCTCCGAGTAGTTGGACATGATGGAGGCTGCAGGGGAGACAAGGTGGGAGACAAAGTATTAGTTATTTCTCTCTCTCTCCATCTCTCTCTCTCTCAATCTCTCTTTCTTTTTCTCTATTTCTGGCTCTCTCCCTATCTCTATCACCCCCCCCCCTCTCTCTCTCTCTCTTTCTAACTCACTTTTCTGTCTCCTGTGACAAATGCGTCATAAACTCCCCGACCCACCACTCGTTTTGTCAGTTCTGACATAACAAGTTACATGATCTCCGGATTTCTAGCTCTCTCTCTCTCTCACTCCCCCCCCCCACTCTCTCTCTTTCTCTCTCTTCCCCTCTCTCTCTTCTCTCTCTTTCTCTCCACACTCTCTCTTCATCTCTCTCACCTCCTCTCTCTCACCCCGCCTCTCTCCATCTTCCTCTCACCCCCTCTCTCTCTACCTCCCTCTCTTTCCGACTGCCCCTCTCTCTCTCTCTTTTCTCTCTCTCTCTCTCTCTCTCTCTCTCTCTCTCTCTCTCTCTCTCTCCCTTTCTCTCTCTTTAATTACTATCCAGTTGTAAACTACACTCGAAAAATAAAAAATGAAGAATTTTTAGAAGGAAGAAGAAAAAGCGATCAAACACAATTTTGACATAGAATCAACAGCTATCCAAATCACTTCATAAAACAACCCCTGCAAACAAAGACAATCTTCATGAAATGTGTCGCGACGCAGTAGAATCAGACGTTCGTCAAATTTTGGGGCATGTAGAGTTATCGGGCTCATCTAAAAGTTTGTTCACTTGCCTTATTTTCGATGAAATAAGTTATTACCGAATTAACTTGTATAGAATCTGAGATATTTGAGATTGAAGGAGGTGGGGTGGCCTGGTTTCTTGGGTAATATAAGCGAAAATGATATGGCCTCCAACGTTTGGTAACTACGAACGTCCTTGGTTAGCTCAAATTTACTTTTTTGTGCCATTAATTAACATTTTTTATGTTTAATCCACACCAAAGTGTGCCTTTACATGGCCGTAAAAGCCGTTAGCTCGTTCTCTCTCTCTCTCTCTCTCTCTCTCTCTCTCTCTCTCTCTCTCTCGCTCTCTCTCTCCCTTTCTCTCTGTCTCTTTCTCTCTCTTTCTCTCTGTCTCTCTGTCTCTGTCTCTGTCTCTCTCTCTCTCTCTCTCTCTCTCTCTCTCTCTCTCTCTCTCTCTCTCTCTCTCTCTCTCTCTCGTCCATCCAAAAGATATAGATCAGTCGTCCTGGACATTGGGAGGCTTCGGGGTTACATTAACAGCTTGCTCAGGCCGACGGTTCAAGGGCCTGGGAGGGACAAGCTATCGATGTAACAACTTAGATTGGATTCATTACTGAGAATGCCGAAAAGAAACCTCTGCTAAAATGGGCTGGAGATCTTTTCTTTGTGTGTGTGTGTGAGTTTTTTAATTTGTGGCGTTCTTTCTCATTAAAGCCTGTTCTTTTTGTTCATTTTTAATTTTTCTTTATATCATCAGAGGCAAGTTGAGGAAGGGTCAGAGAGTAGAGGTAGGTAAATTGTAAGAGGATGGTGGGTAAGAGGGGGGGGGGGTTTGATGTAATAATTTTATATCATGTAAAGCTTTACAGATGTTTTATTTCTTTACACGAGCAAAATGCATGGAAAAACGCATATTTGGTTATATAATATGTGAATTTCTACATATTGAAATGCAAAATGCGATGTCTCTGAATGGGCACAAGAAGATTTTAGACTTCGATTTTAACCGTTGCAACATAGTATGTTAACTCTTTGACAATGGGCTTTCTGATCATGGGACAACGCTCTGAGATGCACTGTTTTTAGAGCACTACGAAAAAGAGAACACGACTTCGTTATTCCAACAGGGGTTTCGAATTTGCTTTCTTTTCTTTTTGAAACGTAATCTTCTGATTCGTGTGTGCTGTTGCGTAATAGACCCTAACATTACCTTTGTCTGCCGTTGATAGGACGTGATAATACATTATGGGCTGCGTCTTACGAGAGTCAATTTAGTTCTCTAACGATAAAGTCTAGAAGTGATAGTATCATCTGTCTGTTGACTCCCAGAATCGACAGTTATTAAGTTAACCACCCACTTACTCCTCGTCTGTACACCCAAAACGGTAAAGTAGGCAGGCTCATTTTAGAGAGAAAAAAGACCAATTGGTATGCCCTGCGGTGTTTCTGACTCATCTGTGCGGTGCCTATGTGAAGTCAGCGCTCGTCAAAATAATGACAGTGAAGAAACCGACATTTCTACGCCAGATGTGCTATTTTTTCCAAATTATTATTATTTGTTATTACTGTTATTTTACTTTTTTTCTGAACCCTATTTGCGTTCATCAAAAATACATTTCTATACGGATTTTAGTGGGGAAAACTTTGATAACAGGTGGAAAAAGAAGGTACTGTTTCCGTTTCCAAGGACGCTAAAGCATTGCAACGCACTACTTTTTGGCGGCCATTTTTTCGCTACTTTTATTACTGGCACAATGCTACCCCGGCCTCCTTAATCGACAATATCATTACTTTTATTCAAATATGTTTTTCAGCAAAGCAAGACAAATCAACGCGTGTTATGATGATACCAACAACCTTAGCTGCACCAAAATTAACGAGTGCCTGATTCCGCCGTGTCGAGACTTATTTGGGTTTGTATGTTTCATTAACTGGCCAACGGGTGCAAATGGGTCGACTGTAATCCGAACCGGCATTTGTGTTGTAGTAGTTGGCAGGGTGTGTGACTGTCTCATGCAGGAAACCAGATTTTTTAAATAAAAAAATAGGGAGAATTTTCATTGAGTGTCTCAGTCTTTCTGCTGGAATGTTGTATTCTCATCCCGGGTAGACCCTGACCGGAAGGGTCCGAAGCCCGTAAACTGAATTATCGAAATTGTTGGCTGGGGTGTAAAATCACCTACAGTAAATAGACGATGCTACAAATGGGTCAAATGTTATTCCAGAAGCGTTTTGTACTGATTGCTCGCCCCACGCCAGGCTGTGACCCCCACGGACCTAATGCTGTAGGGCACAGACTAGAGCTCTGTTCACTCGACTTTAACTATTCAACAATCATGATTTTTGCGCTATCCTCGGGTAATCGAAGCGTGGTAGCACCATTCGAATTTCGCGTGCGTGCCTGTGTGTGAAAGTGTGTGTGTGCGCGCGCGCGCGCGCGCGCGTGTGTGTGTGTGTGTGTGTGTGTATGGAGTGAGGAGGGTGAGGTGTTGTTTTTGTTGTTATTCTTTCGTGGTTTTTGTTTTTGCTTTTTAATAAACAAATAATGGACTTGGTCTAATTTTTTTAAAAATCAAAATAAAATTGGTTTCATATTATATTTAAATTGATCTAGGTAAATACAGCCACACTTTGTCCAGGATGGTTACAATACAGACAGATAAGTGGAGCCAATAAGAATTATAAAACTTGCCTCCGAAAGATAATTTACGCCTATTCAATATTCATTTGTCACACCATGAATAGCTCCAAGGTAATTGACCCATGAAGCACAGTGACAGCCAATGCTTTCCAAGAAATTATAGGCTGTCGCAATGAGCTCCCCTTCCTTATTCGAAATTCGAAGCGTTATGAATGGGGATTGGACGTCATCGTTTTGCTCTGTCTGCAAGCCAGCACACGTGCTCTCAATGAATAACGCTGGGAATAGTTCAAGGTGGGGGGGGGGGGGGATGAATGTTCAAAAGAAAAAGTTGTAGATGGATTTAACCATAACAATAACATAAAACAAAAAAACAAACCAAACCCCCCCCCAAAAAAAAACAAAATAATTCCCACATTTGGGTTTCGAAAAGAACTAACAGTGACCTCTAGCTTCGAATCGTACACCACGAAGATTGATTTCCCCCAAATCGCACAGCGCTAGTCCAGGCATTTCTATTCTAGAGCTAGAGAGAAATTGGAGCTCTTGGAATCTGAGGAATCCTTATGCAGTGGTCAAGGATCTGGAATGTTCTGGCGTAATCTGTGGGATGAGAGTGAACGTGAGACGCTGAAAGGTTTCCCCCGGGTTCAGTTTAATAATGTGCTTGAGGAAACAGAGACACAGTTCATCGACCGGCGTCGGTGGTGTAGAGGGTAGATGCATTGCCCTCTCACGCACGAGACCTGAGTGCTGTTCCCGAGTGGGAAGAAAAATTTAAATTCTCATGGAGTATCTCGGTCTTCCTGCTGGGGTGTTATATCCCTTTCGGCCCGGGTTGGTCCTGGCAGGCAGGGTCGGAGGCCTGCCATCTAGACGATTCTAAATTTTGACGATTCTGGCTTAAAAAACACATACATTTTCTAAATTTACAGTTCACCAATTGGATCACCTGGGATTTGGCTAATCTCAGTGGTTGACCAGTGTGCGAACTACTCTGGTTTGAATCCACATTGGTCATATTTATGTTGGCACTAAGCTAGGAAAAAGGTTATCCTTCAGACCCAAAATGATTGTGTCACGACACAGAGAACTCAGACACTCGCCAATGTGTGGGCGTATGGAATTATTGATATCGCCTCAAACTCAAAGTTTATTAATTTGTCCTGCTTTTGATGTAAAAACTCCCAATCTATCTAGAATATAAGTCGAGATTTTTGCCAGTGAGGAATATGGGGGGCGCCTGATATCATAGGTAAAGTCATTTACAAAATGGCGGCTAAAGTGTGGTAACTTCCA